TTTCAAGACTTTATAGATCCCTGGATTTTTATTTTTTAATTTATACGTGTGTGTGTGTGTGTGTGTGTGTGTGTGTGTGTGTGTAATAGTGCTGAAAGCTGGGTATCACATTTCTGTAGTTCCAGCATCCTCAGCCTGCAGCCACAGGTTCACTCCTGTGGGTGGGGGAAGCAGGGAAGGGCAGTTACTTGGCAGGCTTAGTTATACTAGGTATTAAGACTTTTAGACATGTTTTTTTTTTCCTCCTTTTAAAATTTGGAAGAAGCCACGAGGCTTAATTTAGATGTTTTGTTTTCCTTCCATGATCGAACACCTGGTAGCTGACCAACTGATATGCTTTTAGGCCATGAGTAGCTCATGGTACGTTTATGCTGTCATAGTACAACATTCAATGATGAGAAAATGGCCTGACATACAAATGGTGTCTTGGAATGAATTTATGTTGTGTTAGTCAATAGTCAAAACCCTTAGCCCACATGTTTTACTTCATTTTGTGAATAGTTAAACTCATGCACCTAAATGCAAACTTGCAGCTATTTCTGTAAAAGTAAGGGGCTGATATTGGTTTTTTTTTTTTTTTTGTAATTACAAATAAATACTAATATAGTATTCTTCAAAAATAACAACAAAAGGGGCTGGGAAGGTGGCTCAGTGGTTAAGAGCACCTGCTGCTTTTGCAGAGGACTCAGGATTGGCTCCTAGCATTCTCAAGGCAGCTCCCAACCATCTGTAACTCCAGGGATTTGACACACTCTTCTGGTCTTTCAGGGCACCAGGCCACATAAGCAGTGCATTTATATAAATGAAGGCAAAACACTCATAAACATTAACAAAAATGGTAACAATAGCAACACAGGAAGCAAGTCTGCATTGACCACATGAAAGCTCAAATGTTCCAATAGTAGCACCCAAAATACATTTCAACAGCCTCTGGTCTTAGCAACTTACACAACTAAACACTAAATGGAAATATAACTTACCTGCAATTCACAGTTGCTTTTCCACCTTCAAATTCAGACTCTTTCCCCCATCTTTGAGGTAATTCTAATGCCATAAGTCCTTTCATTCCTATCAGTGCTACATGATGTTGCGTTGGACTTAACAAGACTTGATGAATTTCAAATAGGGGTGGATTTATGCAAAGTAATCTCTGAAAATTAAAGCAATTTAGTAAAAATAGTTTATTTTAATGTTAATATATTTGAGAGTTGCTTGAAACCACAACCATGGTTTAATTTTCTATAGCTACAAAATAACAGCATTCTGGATTAGTACTGATACTAGTTTTATTAACTGATTATCCCCAATGACTAAGCCTCTAAAAGCACTTGCTCCTCTTGCAGAGGACCAGAGTTTGGTTCCCAGCACCCACATTCTTAGCTCACACTGTCCAGTTACAGGGAATCAGTTCAGACACTCTCTTCTGGTTTCCTGGAGCACCTGTATTCACACACACACACTTAAAACAAAAGTCTTAGGGCTGGAGAGATAGCTCAGTGGTTAATAAGAAGCAATGGCTACTCTTCCAGAGGACCTGGGTTCAATTCCCTGAATCCACATGGTGGTTCTGTAACCACCATCTGATCTGACCTCTGTGGGTACCAGGCACAGGGATAGTACTTACACACATATACTGAGAAAATATGCACATACAGAAAATTAAAAACAAGGCAAAACAAAAAACTTTAGCTAGTCAGTGTTGGCATACACCTTTAATCCCAGAACTCTGGGAGGCAGTCAGGAGGCTCTCTAGGTTCAAGGCCAACTGGTCTACAGAGTGAGTTTCAGGACAGCCAGGGCTACACAGAAAAACTCTGCCTCAAAAAAAAAAAAAAAAAAAAAAAAAAACCCAAAAACCCCAAAAAACAAAACCTAAGCTGGGCAGTGGTGGTGCATGCCTTTAATTCCCAGCCCATGGGAGGCAGAGGCAGGAGGATCTCTGTGTGTTTGAGACCAGCCTGGTATACAAGAGCTAGTTTTAGGACAGCCAGGGCTACACAGAGAAACCCTGTCTCTAAAAGCTAAAGAAGCAAACCAAAGAAACAAAAACAAACCATAAAAACTTGCCCCCTCACATAACCTAGTAGGCACTACTTGAGATTTGTTTTTCTTGTTACTTAAGTGAATAAAAAACTTTAGAAGTATTAGTAAAAGATAACTATTTTATAAACTATACTGTAGAATAACATATAGCTTCAGACCAAGTGTGGTGGTACACACCTTTATTCCTAGTACTGGGGAGGAAGATTACAGGTGCCTCAGTCTGAGTTGCAGGTCACCCAAAAGTTCAAAGTGAAACACTAGATTAACTTCAAGAGCTTTGCAGCAAACAGTACTGATTTATCTGTGTTCAGTATCAAAGAGTGATAATTTTAAGGGAGTTGTAATAATTTGTCATCACATCACACATCCTCAAAAATACTCACTTCTATACTGGTACTTCCTATTTCTTTTCTCATGACCATTTCAGATTTCTATTTTTTCTTTTTACTCTTAGTAAATAATGAGACTGTCAACATATTATTTACCTGTGTATGGAGAACCATGCATTTAATCATTTAAGATAAGGCTTTTTTGAATATAATGAGATTTCTAATTGTTTTTATATCTGTAGGCTAGCGTGTCTTTAAATGCCTGTTGCAGAGCTGGGCAGTGACAGAACACAGTTTTAATTCCAGTTCTTAACAGGATCTGTCTGATCTCTGAGTTTGAGGCCAGCCTGGTCTACAAAGCAAGTTGCAGAACAGCCAGGGCTGCTGCACAGAGAAACCCTGTCTCAAAAAACAAAGAAGAAAAAGAAAAAAAAGTCACCAAATAATACAGAGCTCTTACATGCTCTAGGTTTATGACAAGTACTGGATATAAAAAAGGTAAACATAGCCTCTGTTTTGGTGTTTACAAATGAGAAAATAAAACAAAAGTTTTAAAGTAATTATTACTGCATATTACTGCACTAAATGTTACAAAGCATGAACACGTTATGTACAAAAAACTGAACAGTGTACTGGAACCAGGTATGAAGTTATCCACCTTTAGTCAGGCAGAAGCAGGGCTTAAGATCAGGAGCATGTGGTCAGTCTGTTAACTCCAGTCCCCACCCCCCCCCCCTTTTCTCTCTCCACACACACACACACACACACACACACACACACACACACACACACACACACACCCAGGATGGCCTGGCTCAGACGTGTAATCTCAACACTCAGAGACCGAAGCAGGAGTTCCAGACCAGCCTGGGATACATAACCAAAGGGGAGAAAAAAATCAAAACAAAATAATTTACTGAAGTAT